TAAAAGAATAAGCTCATCATTGGTGCTTATGTGAGCTTCCTTTATATCAAACAAATGTTTTGCAGTTAGAAAAAGTTTACAATGAGAATGAAAATTCTAATGCAACAGTTATGTAAGTCTTGAAGATTTTGAAAGATATCGCACAAATTTTGCGAGTTAAAGCACCATTTATTTTTGTATAGGAAAAACACATGATACCAACATAACTATTTAGAACATTCATGGGAGTCAGGAACACTATCTCATTGAAGTATGCTTTCAAAATAACCTTGCTTCAATTAGGACTTTTGAAGGTTGTAACGTGGTCTGGTTCATGGTTTTTAGAAAAAAGATTTTAAGGCTCAAAATATTTGGTGCCCACCCATTCTTCATGATGTTCTCCAACCCTATGTTCAGTTAATTCAACATGAGTGTTCATCTCTCAAAAGGATTTTGTGACGGTCAAGGAAACGACGAGGCTTTTGGAGTAGAAACCACCCTCATGTCTTCGTGTTTGTAGTCACCAATTTGTTCTTTGCTGAGGACTTTTCTTTGTAGTCCTTTCTTTGCAATTTTTATTTTCCCTAATTTTTGCCTGAACTAATTTTTTTGAATTGATAGTCCAGCGGGATGCCTTAATTTTGCCTAAGTCACACGTTTTCATTTTTTTTGACTTAGCAGGCTTTTCTTTTTCTTGATTTTTGACTTTTTGAACAAAATGTGTGACATTAGCTTGTCTTTGCTTGTTGAGGGGATTGTGATTGCCTCGTTTCTTGATGAATGAGGGATAACATTGTGGTTCCACATCCTCTAGATTCATTATACATGAAGGATAGCCCTCGTAGTTTCTTTCAAAAAACATCTTCCTTATGAATTTTGAACACTCAGTCAGATTAACTAAAAACTACCCTGCCCCAGGTTAAAATTCAAGTTTTTTTCGTATAGAAAAGAAACTTCTGCTTCAAAGGCTCAAAAGGGGTTAGTAAGGGATTATCTTCCTTATATCTCCGGTGTTTAGGGATTTGAAACAATGCCTGTACATCATCAGCAAGATTTTATCCAAAAGCAAACAACCAGAGATTTTGTGTCCTTTAGATCATCATCCTCCCTTCAATCTCTGCCTAGGCAAGAGAATGGGCAACAAGTTGGTATCATAATGCCAAAAGAAATTTAAAATTTGAAAACAAATATGAGTGAAACGAATGAATTTCTTCAAGACAAACATACTCATTGTATTAAGATAATCATACAGATGCAAACAAGTTCTTACATGCAAACAATGTTTTGATAAACAAGAAAAATTACAAAAGCAGAAATAAGTTAATGATCTGGGAAGGCTTTCCATCTGGACTTGAATTACCGAAAACATCCTTCAAAACTCAAAGTGACCATCAATCGTGTTTACTCTTCGGCACATGCTTGATTTGAACTTCAAAACCAACGTTCTTGAATGACAAGATACCACTTCTGGCCAACTTCTGAACCTCAATCTTCAAAGCAAAGCAACCCTCCAAGTCATGCCCAGGAGCACCTTGATGAAAGGTACAAGTCAAATCAGCTTTGTAGTACCAATGTATCTTCTCAGGAACCTTCGATGGAGGTCAGGTCTGAACCAAATTCCTCTGCATCAGGATAGGGAACAACTCTGTATAGGTAATTGGAATTGGATCAAACTGGGTTTTCCTCTGATTAGGAACTTGCTGATTTTGTTGATGAATAGGAGAAACATGATGATTCTGACGATGATTATTTCTTCCTCTGGTTCTCTTCTTGGAAAAGTTATTATCAAACTTCTTCACACCATTAGCTGAGCTACCATCTTCATATGAACATCCCTTTCCGACATCTTCTTCTAGACGCACTCCCATATTCACCTTGTCAGGAAAGTCATTAGGTGCATTAACCAACACCTTCTCATGAGAGAATGATTTTAGAGTTTCAGTGAAGACTTTTATCATCGCTTCCTCCCTCTTAAAAGGATTGACTTGGGCGGAAACCAAAATTTCGACCAAACCAGTTAAGTGCTCCACACTAGCTTTCAAATTAGTCATCTCTCTACGAAGTTCAAAAACCTCTTGCTTGATATTCTCCATTATTCTCTTAGCGCGAGTGTTGTACTTATGAGACCAAAGGAAAAATAAGACTCGGAAAAAGACCTTTGAAAGTGAAACAAAAAAATGTAGAATAATGTATGATATGCAAAAGAGAATTTTTATTTGATTTTCAAGGAACTCAAGATATTAAGTTCTAAACATCCAAGTATGAAGATAGAAGATGAATTTTAAATTGGCTCCAAACGTTGATCAAGTTATCGTCAAGATCAATCATCCATTTTGGTGGATTAGGGTTTTCGCCCTATCAACACCCAAGATCCATTGAGCTTGACGAAACTTGTGATGTTTACAAAGAAAGACCTCTAAATTCCTTCAAAGTAAAGTGAAAAGGGTTTTATGGATGCATGAATGCATGGCTATGCAGCAACCACAATCAAGGTCACAAATAAAGTCGAAAGGTTCAACGTCACGAGCATGGAGTCAAGGTAAGGAACACCCCCAAGGTATGTACTAACGGTTTAATCACACCTGTAGAACAAGGTTCTAAGAGTTCCCGGAGTCTACATTCCTCCTTCGGATATTACCAACGTCTTGATTACTCAATAATCAGTAATATTCTCAAGAGAAACTCATCTGAGCGTAGCATCGCGTAACAATTACTTCCGGATTACTCTGTTATAATCTCCGCGCTACACCTAAAAGGCCAAGATGGGTTAGGGTTCTACGGTTCACAGCTTCTCTGGCTCCCAGGTCGAAAATAATAATGTCTTCCCGATTACTCGGTAAACAAATATTACGTTCAAAAGGGCCTTCCACTGAGTGGGGGATCTCATGCCTCCTTCTTCGGGATTACTCCCTCAAAGCTAACATGACTATACCGCCCGTCCTATTCCTAAGTGTAACTTAGTCCGGGTATAGGACTTGTCCTTTGTAAATATTATCAACACCCAAATAATCATAATATATACATATAATCAAACAATCAAATAATGATAACACAGATAAAACAAATTAGGCTTAACCCACTTAGGGATGGACCAGCAAGAGGTCAATTTGTCCCCAGCAGAGTCGCCAATTCTGTGGCGGTGAAAATCGGAGATCAAGCTATTAATTAACTTGACTCACAAAAAGCAAGAGTCGCCACCGCGCTTTATTATTTCCAAGGGAAAAGGGAAAAGAGCGAAATAAAACCCTAAAACATGCAATGTAAAATAATGAAAATACAATGCATTTTTGAAAAGAGATCAAGAGTTCGAGGGTTGGTTATACAATGGGAAGGTATTAGCACCCAATGCATCTGCGGTACTCCGCATGAACCTTTTGAAATATCTGTTTTTGGTTAAAATTGTTTGTTTGATTAAAATGGTTTATTCGGTCAAAATGGGTATGGATGAGATTTTGAAGATACGACGACCTCGTGTCGAAGTTTTGACTTAAAAGGTGTGAGTTTAAAAATGGAATCTTTTGGGAGAATTATCTTAAGTTTGGAAAAATAGTAAATAAGCAAAAAAATGGATGAGGGTATTCGCACGATCGGATGAGATGCATTTGATGACGTGAAGTCAACAAAGTTAAAACATTTCCCTTGGAGTTAAAACCACAGACGGATAAATAAGCTAAGAGTATATCAAACCTTAGGTGAAAATAAATCACAAGCCGACAGCATCGTCAAAAAAACCTAATGTGAGATAATACTCCAAGCATCAGATGAAGCGCAAAGGCGGTGGATGAAGCTCACGGTGTCAGATAAGAATCCCTACATCATAAGAGATATACCGACAAAATCTAACAGCACGGGAAACTTATGTGCGACCGTACAATTTTCAGAAGTTAGTTGGAATTAAAAATAAAATCATAATGCGATGGAAATAATATTTTCAAAACCTGAATTTATTTACAAGTAAAATATACAGTCAAAATTTTATGTACAAGTATATATTTAGAGTACCAAATATTAAATCAAAATAGTAAGGTAAAAAGGGAATAATAAAAAGTATAAATGCGCTATGCGAGAACGAACACTTAAAACAGTTCTCGGAAACCTTCACAATAAACAAACTTGTTAGTAGCATAAGCGGTACAGAAATGAAAGTGAATGAAATTGCAACAATTAAAATCCATGTTAGAAATCACAAATTAAAGAATTGAAATGAAATTGTATGAATGGACATGAATATTTACACATTTATAATATTTATTATTATTTATAATACTTACAAAAAAACCAAAACAATAAACTAAAAAATAAAGAAAGTGTAGAAATAATTAGGGGGGTTAAAAACTAGTAAACAATTAAAATCAAAATCAAAAGTTCAGCCCATATCATTGAATTTCTAAACAATTAAAATAAAATTAACAACAACTAAATTATAATTTGTGTAAAATAATCAAAACAAAATTTGAAAAGAAAAAAAAATGTTTAATAATAATTAAAAAAGTATGTTGTTGTTGTATAGTGGGAATTGATGAACGGAAAGGGAGTATATAAGCTGGAAGGTGATGTTGATGTAGTAAAAAAAAAAAAAAAAAAAAAAAAAAAGGTATGTGATTAGAAAGTGATTACTGCTACAATGTCGAGATGAAGATGGAGATTTAGCTGCCTGTTACTGAATAGTAATGGGTCTTTGAAGAACCATAGCACAATTTCATTAGTACACATTTAAATGTACCTCTTTAAATTGGTTAAAGGAAACAATAAGGTCAATTTGTTGGATAAAAAATATAAACCACTAATTCAAAATATTGATATACATTGCTGGGTGTATTTTTCAAAAACACCAACAAGGCATGCAAAATAAAACTTAGTTACCCATATTCCTTTGACAGTTCACCTGCCGTGTATTTGTCACAATTAATCAAGATAACGGCATGCCATAACAATGACTGTCTATCAAAGTTTCATATTCACAAATGCATATCATGCTTTGAAGACGATATGAATCAAACAATCGTAACACTGTCTAATAATTAAAGTCCTGATGATACCTGACATGACAGTGCCTTCACCCATGGAGTTTGGTCTACCCCCAGCCAAGCGTGTAGAAAACGAAAGTTACTAGCCAAGGTCGTTGACAGTAGCGGATGCGCACGGTTAATAGCTTCCATAAGAGAAGCTCCATCATCATTTTTAGGCTTGACGTGCAATACAATCTCCACACCAACTGACTCTCTGGCAGATTTTTTGACAGATTCAATAATAGATGCCTTCTTTTGGCTGCACAATATGTGGATCTGCGCCTTTGTGAAAACCATAATTGTTTCCGGGAACTCAAATCCAAGGAGCCACAAGAATAGAGCAGTAGATTTCAGGTATCTTAGATCTTCTGAAGGTGGAGGACATGCGACAGCAACTGCATCAGAAGAGCCCCAGATATTTGCTTTTGTGTTCATCCCAGTGATTGTAAAATGACTTCAGTATAGTTTGAAATGTAGTCAGATCAATAGCATAGGCTGAACCAGCTGCACTAGATTTTCCATTGGCAGCTTGTGCACTTCCATTTCGATGGTCTGACATGGTATGCTATTTCTGTAAAGGAGTAACACTGAGAGGCTTCAGGCATGAACGATGGTTGTTTCGTTATCTGCGATTTGAGAAATTTGTTGGAAGCGGCGCTTGGTTGTTGAGATGAGGAAGAACGTTTCGATTTGGGGGAATTGTGGATTGGATTTGCGTGAGGTTCAACGGAGGTTGGTGTTAATGGAAGAGGCAGTTTTGGTGTGGGTTAGTGATGGAGGGAAGAGATCGGGGAAGGTGAAAGGAATTAGGTGGTACACGTGCAAGGTTGGGATGGTGACGTATAAAGGAAATAGTATAAAGGAAATAGAAGGGGTTTACTGTGAAGGGAAGAGGAAATTGGGACGTGAAGTAAGCTAGCAGAGGGAGTTGTGAGAAAGAGAGATGGTGCTTTTGTTGTGTTTGGTTTTTTTTGTTGTTCTTCCCCCTTACAAAGAAAAAAATGCTACTTAAATAGAAAAAAAAAGTGGGTTGTGTATTGAAGGTGATTTGTATCGATCCTCAATTTCATCCAACAGCCAATAGGAATCAAGCACAGTGTAAATAATATTTTTTGTGACCAAATAGCCCTTTAGTGACAAAAATAAAAATAAAAACTTGAAAGTATAAAAAAATAACTCAATTAAAAATGATTTTTTTGAATATTTTATGAACAAAAAATAAAGACCCAAAATGACCGAAAATGATAAAAAACGGACGAAAATTTATCCAAAAAAATAAAATGAACACATTAAAATAATCTACATGTCACAAAGATTAAAGAGAAAATATTCAAGAAGTCAAAAATCAAAAATAAAATAATAATAAAAATATCAGACTAAACAGACGTTTAAGGTTAAAAACGAGACTTCGAACTGTACCGAAAAATAAAGCGAGCATACCGTCATGATCTACGCGAAGCGCAGATTCATAAAATGATCGGTAAAAGGTGAAAACTTGAAATATTTTCTCGCTACTTTCCGCATAGTGTCGAATCGCTTTTAACAGCCTGTCTATAAAACCGAAATATTTTATTATCGACATATAAACAACTTGGAGCAGTGCAAGAAAATAGTAAACAGATAAAAATGCATGAAGTGAAATGTCAGGTATTTTTTAACTAAAAGACGATGCAAACTTTGATTTAAACTGAACTCCTGGCCAACTTAAATACGACTAATGATGCAAAATGTGATGAATGAAGATATTTACTAATGATTGTGACCAAGTGACAAAATATGGTATGAATGTGCGAATGAAAAAATTAGGGGCGAAATTAAGGGTGCAACGGTTGTGCCTTGATGAATCAGTCTTCGAGAATCCACAATCAACCGTATTTCGGGCTTGGGGGACTCAAAACCTTAATTGAGGCGCGACACCTGATACTCTTGATTCAGACCTGTCTCTGCACATGACACAAAAGAAAACATGAACATACACCTTTGTATGCGATTAGAAATTAGTGATGCATAGGCTAAAAATGTTCAAAACACTTGACAATCTTCGCATAGTCAAAGCTCGAAGGTGATACGTTAAAACCGACCGTATTTCGTGACCTTGACTTATCTTAAAAAATGAAAAAAATAAAAATGGGATCTTAGGTCAAAAATTGGGGTACAACAAATATCACCATCACTGTCGGTGTCTTCAACAACATTGACCTACCTATTCTTAATGATACCAGCACTGTCAAACCTTATGGGAGTTGACAAACTTGGAGCTTATGAATGGAACCTTGATTACTAGGTTCAAATCCCAAACCAAACTTGTTAGACTTTGGGATAACCTCCACTAAATGGCCCCATCCTTTGGGGCTACCTACTTCAACCATAGCTTGAGCATCTTTCAAAGATGACATGGACGTTTCTAGCTTCTTCCTCTCCTCGGAACGAGGAGTCTTGATCATTTGAACAATTTCAAAGCCCTGAAAAGGTGTCTCATGCACCTCTCCCTCTATTTCGACATACTGGAAACATGACAGGTGACTCACCAGATACTCCTCTTCACCATACATAATAATGGTCTTGCCATTAATAGGATATTTGATCTTCTGATTGAGGATGGATGTCATTGCCCAAACCTTATGAATCCATGGACGACCGAGCAAACAAAAATAAGTGTGTTGAATATCCATTACGAAAAATGTAGAGGTGAAGATCTGAGGACCAATCTTGACAAGAAGATCTACCTTGCCAAACACTATGCGCCTTGACCCGTCAAATGCCTTAACCACCAGATCACTTGGACGCAACTCGATCTCCGATTACTCACGCTTCATCAAAGCAGTTTTTAGGATAACATTCAGAGAGGAACTGGTATCAACCAAGACACGGGATAAAGTATCCCCCTTGCATTCCATCAAAATATGCAATGCTTTGTTGTGATTTCTTCCTTCTGGAGGAAGATTGAAATCCGTAAGACCAAGACCGTTGCCAGTAGTTATACTCGCACACACACTTTCAAACTGGTTGACTGAGATCTCTTGTGGGACGAATTCCATATTCAACAATTTCATCAGTGCATTCCTATGTGCCTCAAAATCACGAAGTAGAGATAAGATAGAGATCTTGGATGGAGTCTGACCAAGCTGGTCAATAACCCGATAATCACTCTTCCGTATATACCTCATAATCTCTTAAACATCCCTTTTCATATCACTATCCAAGTCTTGGATCGAGAAATCGGCTACCACTTGTTGCTTACCTTTAGCTCTAGCTAAGGCATCTGCCTTATCTTGCATATTTTATGGTGAGATTACTCTCCCACTTCTAGTTACCCTTATGGTGTCAACAATCAACATCTGATTGATCTTTCCCCAAAAATTTCTCTTCTGAAGAACCACTCTCCTGTTTCACTCCTTGACAATACACATCTCCTCCATAATGCCACCCTATATCCTTATCACTTGTATAATTGATAAGACCAGGCATAGTAATTAGAAGAGGTATCGGTTTGGCCGTATCATACAGATTAGTAGGGGTAAATGAGATAGAAATCACGTCAATATCCTATGTGCTTTTCCTCCCATTGAAAATATTATAAAAACGAAGCTCACCTTCATTAATCAATTTCTGAATACCCGCTTTCAACTTGGCACAACCCTCAGATTGAAACACACAATCAAAACAATCTGAATTGCATCCTGGATAAACACCTCTCTTGAACATCTGTTCTTTGACAAAAGGCAAAGGAGTAACCACCTTATTCACATACAAAACTGTTGTACCCCAAAATTTTCCCTCCCTTTATCTTCAAGACATTCTCCTAGGGTTCTCAAATGCTCAAGGTTGCTCAAGAATTGATCAGACAAATTCTCCCCCTAAGTAGTTGACACTAGGATTTCACTTTTCTTAAGAAAGTTTGGGTTTCTAAAGCCTCAAGTGGTTTCCATGGTTTCTTATATGTCTCCAAGAATGCTCATAAGAAGTTTCATGCATTGCATCATAAGTTTGCTCAGTCAATTGCTCAGATAACTTAAAATAAACTATATTGGGTAAATAGTCAATTGTGGTTAACATACAGTCAAATTTAGATATTTTTGGTCAACATCAAGGTTTTTAAGTTATATTCATCATTTTATCAAGGGTTGATCATGATTCATCAAGAAAACTCACAAACCATCAAAAGTAAAAAGCTGCCAAATTAGGGTTTTCTTAAAGAGAAGTCAACTGAACTTTGACCAGGCATAACTTTCACATGTTTCATCAAATTTTCTTAAACCGAAGCTTATTTTTAAGGAAGTTCAATTATTTAAAACTTTGTCTCTCTAAGCTCAAGTCCAAAAAATGCTTCATTTGAGAGATATGGGCCAATACATTATAGGTCATTTCAAAAGTCAACAAAAAGACACTTTTTGTCAAGGCAACTTACATCAAGATAAATATTCAAATGCAAAAATGTTCAAAATAGAGATTGTAGACGATATTGTGAGCTTTCTGAAAAGTCCAAGATTTAAATGATAAAAATTGAGAGATTTATGACCAATGTAAGTTGGGAAATTTTGAGCAAATGCATGACGTTCAAATTGAGCAAACTTGAATTTTTGGGCTAGTGGGCTATTATTTCAAAGTCCAAACGTGATTTGCAGCTTATAGTGAACCTCAAGAATTGTTCATACACCTCCCTTTGTTTTATTATGTTAGACGATGTGACAGGTCTAGAAGGGGGGGAGGATGGGGGTTGAATAAATCCCTTTAAAATTTTTGCGCATTTTGTAAAATTGTTTTTATCAGAGAGCAACAACCCTGAATCTGATTATCTAAACTTTATGTATTGGAAAGTTCAGATATGCGAACCAACTTGATGAAAATGATGAGAATAGAATTACAATAAAAAATGAATATGATGAATCGCTTTAGCAAGTTTAACAAGGTGTAAGTTATTACCAATTTGTTGCGGAGAAGATAAAGCAAATTTGTGAGTTGTAAATACACCAAACACTTGGTGTACGTACTACACAAGGTTTGGTTATACTCAAATTGTAGTGATTATAGTGATTTGAATAAATGCTATGTGAGTTTTTAACTTTAGTTTATCACTACAGTTATCTTGTATGAATGAGAAAGTTCGTAACTCACAAATTTAAGCAGATAGAAATCAAATGTAGAAAACTAAAATGGACACGGTATTTGTGAAGGCAGTTCACCCTGTCCTCCTCGCGTGGGCTACTCTTCCCCCAATTCTAGAATCTAGAATTAGGATATGAAATTAATTTTACAAAGTTTCTAAGAGAAGATACAATCACCATAATTCAAAATCACTTGATGAATCTTATATGTTGCACTCCTATTTCCTTGATTCCAGATGAATGAAGTATGCCAAATCTTGAACAAACACTCCTTCTATTTTGAATGATTTTGTACTCAAGAAAATTTAGCCCCAAATCCTTCTTCACAATCCTCCAGTTACCACTACCCGATTGAACATTCCACGGTCTTCCAATCCCTTAGCTCGGCTGAATTCAATGAAGCAAAGATTTGTGATAAAAAACCCCAATTTTGGAGGACAAAACCCCGATGGTT